ATTATTTCAATAGATAGCATTAAAATGTAATTATTAGTTTTGAATAAGATTAAAGAGGGAATGTGCAAATATGTGGTTGGTAACTTATTGACTGATTGATCCTTGTATCTAACTCTCCCACTATCTAAGAGTTGTCAAAGTCACTAATCATATTTCCCTCTTAATCTTTCAAGGAATTATGGATAAAGAATGGATGTCTGCCAATCATCTATCCAAGAAATATTGGGATGGTGTAGCAAATTTGATTAAGCTTGTAGTTAAGCATGCAGAGGATCCTATTAGGATTGTTTGCCCATGTTTAAAGTGCGGTCTTGTGAATTGGGTTAGTCTAGATACTTGTGAAGAACACTTAATGAGTAATAGGATGGATCAAAGTTACAAGTGTTAGATAATGCATGGTAAGATAAGGGATGATATTAGTTGTAGCTAGAAGCATAATAAAAGCTGTGCATCATCTCTTGATAATTTTGTCATATGTGTACTTTAGGAAGATTGTCTTAAATAGATGGCCAAGGCAATTGAAGAGGACCTTGAGGATTGTCCAGAAATGTTTGAGAAGTTGAAAAGTGATCCGAAGACGCTGTTGTATGCTAGTTATAGTGCATCAAAGTTGTCAACAATGTTAAAATTATACAATATGAAGGCAAAACATGGATGGAGTGATGTGAGCTTTACTGAGTTGCTTGGATATTTGAAAGTATAATTACTTCCTAAGGAAAATGAGCTTCCTTATCAAACATATGACACAAAGTAAGAATTGTGATTAATTGGCATGAGTTAAAAGATACACGCATGCCCTAATGATTGCTTTTTGTTTTGGAATGAATATGCATCATTAACCGAGTGTCCAAAGTGTAATGCCTCATGCTACAAGCAAAACAGATCAAGTCCCTTAAAGGCACTATGGTATTTTCCAATCGTGCTCAGATTTAGATGCATGCATGGTGGCGCAAAAGTTAGAAAAAGCTTAACATGGTATGCGCATGAAAGGATAAAAGACGACATGCTTTGTCACCCTGCTAATTCTCTATAATGGAGAAAGGTTGATTATGAGTACCCTGAATTTAGGGAAGAGAGTAGGAATTTATGCCTTGCTTTATCTATAGATAGGATGAATCCTCATGGGCTTGAAAGTAGTAGCCACAGCACATGACCAGTCATTTTGGTGATTTACAACCTTCCTCCATGGCTTTGTATGAAGTGCAAGTATATGATGTTATCCATACTAATTGCGGGACCCAAGCAACCTAGGAATGACATAGACATATATTTGGCTCTTCTAATTGATGACTTGAAGATCATGTGGGAGTTAGGTATAGAGGTATATGATGGGTATAGAGAAGAAAGATTCATTTTAAGAGCTATGCTCTTCAGTACAATCAATGACTTTCCTGCTTATGGTAATCTGTCAGGGTATAACATTAAAAGGCAACTTGGATGCCCTATTTGTGAAGAGAGAACACATTATATTAGGCTTCAACATGGGATAAAGAATGTTTACCTTGGGCACCATAGGTTTTTACACCAAGAACATCATTATCGATGATTGATGGAAGCGTTTAATAGAAATCCTAAAGAAGGTAAGACACCTTTGCCATTAATTGGTGATGAGCTATTTGAGAAGATCAAGGATTTGGATATTAAATTTGTCAAACTATTTACAAGGCACCTTGGGACAAGCGGATGGAAGAAAATACCTATTTTCTTTAAACTCCCTTATTGGACCACCTTAGATGTTCGGCATTTTCTTGATGTCATGCATATTGAGGAAAATGTCTGTGAGAGTCTTATTGAGACTTTACTCTAAATGTTAGGAAAAAAAATATGGCATAAAGGCAAGGTTGGACATGGTTTCTTTAGGAATAAGAGAACGATTGGCACCCTAAGATAAGAGGAACCGTACTTTTTTCCCTCTGGTAGCTTATACACTATCTAAGAAAGAGAAATTTCATTTTATGAGTTCCTTAATGCAATTAAAGTTCCGAGGGCTACTCTTCAAACATAAAAAAATCTTGTATCAATGAAAGATCTGTAGTTGAAGGGCCTAAAGTCTCATGATTGCCATGTTTTAATAGAGGATTTCATTTTGATGGCTATTCGTGTAATTTTACCCCCTAAAGTATAAGGGACAATCACTAAATTATGTTTGTTTTTCAAGTCCATTTATAGTAAAGTGATTAACCCACATAAGTTGCTAAGATTGCAAGCCCGAATTGTATTAACATCATATGAGCTTGAAATGTATTTTTCACTAGCACTCTTTGATATTATGATCCACCTAATCATTCACTTGGTTAGGGAGGTTCAAATGTGTGGGCCTACTTATTTAAGATGAATGTATTTTATAGAGCATTATATGAAGATTTTTAAAGGCTATGTGAAAAACCAAAGTCGACCGAAGGGTTGTATTGTTGAACGATATATTTGTGAAGAGGCTATTGACTTTTATACCGAGTACCTGAGCCATGTTAGCTATATTGGGCTTCCAAAGTCTCAACATATTGGTAGAATAGGTGGAGAGGGGATCATGGTAAATAAAGTTGTTACTATCTCAAGTGTACAGTGGTAGTAAGCCCACTCATATGTGTTGCACAACACTAAAGATGTTGAAGAGTATGTAGACAAGCATATGGCTGAACTTAAGAGGGATAATCTCAATAAATTAGAAATTTAGTATGCTAGGGAACACAATAAAACTTTTACAAGATAGTTTAAAGAGCATATTCTTCAAATGTTAAATGTTGATTTCAATTCAGTTTCTCAAAAATTGAGATAGTTAGCTAATGGTCCAAGCAGATAGGCCATTTCTTACACTACTTACCTTGTCAATAGGTATACATTTTATACAAGGGAGCAAGATGATAGGAGCATAATGCAAAAATAGTGGTGTAACTCTTGTAGCTCATTCCATGCATATTTCTAGTACTAAGGATAAAAATCCTATCTATGCAAACATGTCATATTTTGATGTAATTGAGCATATATGGCATTTAGATTACATATCCTTTCAGGTTCTGGTCTTTGGGTGCAAGTGAATTGATTAAAAATGGCTTGAAATTTGATTATCAATTTGGATTTGTATAAGTCAATTTGAACAAGGAAGAGTATAAAGATGAGCCTTTCATTTTAACACAACAAGCTAAACAAGTGTTCTATATCCCTGACCCTACTAATAAGAGATGGTCTATACATTTAGAGGGACATCAAATCAAAGTAACAACACTACTAATAACGCTCTATACATGAGAAATGATCACAATGAAGGTATTTGGATTTCGAAGAGGAGTAAATTATTTTATCATAAGAAGAAAATATTTTAAGGAGGGGGAAGTAAAAAACAAGAGTCAACGAAACAAAAAAGAGTGAATTAAATATGTGACCTTCAAATTAATTGTGCCATTTTTGTTTCATGTCTGAATTGATATGGTTGATTAATGTTTGAATTAATTATGCCATTTTTGTTTCATGCTTGAATTAATATAGTTGACTAATGTTTGAATTAATTATGGTTGATTAATTTTTGAATTTCTTATGTTACAAATAAATGGCTTTAGATTTTAAGTCCACTAAAATCCCTCCATCAGATCCCACTACAACTTCTCCTGATACTCCATCATCATAAAAAAAAACTAAAGTAGGAATATAATAATATCCAACGGGGCCTACCAATCATGGAAGAACTTATAAAAATAAGAGCTGCAGGGAAAAAATAGCAATGCAATGGAACAAGAAAGGGCAAGCCATCAAATCTACAAAGTTTATAAGTTATATCAGGTTGGTGGAAAAGACAACTATACCTATCATGTAGAAATCATGGTGTAAAGTTGATTAAGCCATGATGGACATTATTTAGGAGACTATGGCTATAAGTGGCATTTTACTAAGTTATATTCTGTTATAGTAGTTTAAATTAATGCATCTAACATATTTATTTTATTTTGCAGTCAGGATTTAAAATAGACGAGAGCAAGAAGGATTTTGTCCTTCAAAAGGCTAGGAGGGCATTATAGTCTTTCAGACATTTTATCACACAGAAATATTTGAAAGGCCCTGATGCTGAATTTGTAGCCCGAATTCCTCCCCTATTACAGCTTTTAGTAAACTAGGAGATTAGGATGCTTTTGTTGTCTCTCGGCACAAGAAGGAATTCAAGGTATTTGTATTTCTAAGATTTAAATTTTGGTTCCTTTTATTGAATGTATATATGTGTACTAACAAAATATTTTTGTTATTGATTAAAAGAATTGAGCGCTCAGAATAAGGAGGGAGTGGCTAAGAGAGTAGAGAGGTTGGGGTATGTAGGCATGGAGCAAAAACAAGTAGAGGCCGAGGGATCAGATGTTACCATATCCTACCAAGACTTTAGGTATTGGCACGAACAAACAAAGATGGAGTCATTGACAACCCTGATGTGAAAGAGGTTATTGAAAAAAATATAAGTGTTATTATTATCTATCAATTAATAAATGATTATGAAAATGCATGGTAATCAGCTCTACTTTGTATAGGATTCCTTCTCTCAAGAAGTCTCATATGGCAAGCTTCCTGAGCATGAGGATATCTTGGCTAGAGCATTAGGGACCCTTAACCACCCTGGTAGTGTCAAGGGTGTAAGCTTCAGTGTCATGAAGGAGGAATACTTTAGCAAGATTAAGAAGCGAACATCAGCTTCTTTGTCCAAGGTCCAAGAGCTGAGAGCAGACCAAGCTTGTAACATCCTAAAAATTTTAAGACTCAAATTTATTTAAAAAAAATAAACAAAAATAAAATAAAATATCTATAATTAAATTAAAATTTAGAATAATTTAATAGAGGCCCAGAGTTCAAATTTTACTAAGCAAAAGTTTGGTTTTATTTGATTTTTAACTATGGGAAAAATTACCAAAGTTGACCCGGGCTTTTGTGCAATAATAAAAAATGTTGGGCCCTTTCTTGTAATTTTCCCCAAAGTTTTTGACCAGCATTTTAAGGAGCAAACTGATGCAGAAACGCAGAAAAAATGAGAAAGGAAGCAAACGCACAAACGGGAGAGAGAGAGAGAGGAAGAAGAGAAGAGAAAGGGAGGGAGTTAGGCTTGGATCTAGGAGTCTTTGCGACCGTTGCGAGCTCGGCTACACGATAGGTAAACTCCCTACTTCAATCCTCTTCTCTTTCTCTTGATTTTCTTCAATTTTTGGAAGAGGAAATTTTTGGATTTTGATCCCAAAGGCTTTATTCTTGTAAGCTTTTGTTTCTTTGGATTCTAGGGAGCATGTTTTGAGTTTCTATATAGTGATCTAATGTTTTGAGTGAATAATTGGATGAAAAGAGGTGTTTTGGGCACAAAATAAACCTTGAGAAATTGGGTTTTTGCTCCTCAATGGTTTAAGCCTATTGATTTAGTTATAATTTTGCTATTTGAGCCCAATAAGATTTAAATTAAGGTTTGGTTTTCATTATAAGGGCTAATGGTGAAAGTTGGTGGCACTAAGTAAAGGTTTTTAATTGATTAAAAAAATTATATAAATTGAAAATTAGCTTAGTGATGGCTAATAAATGGTTTTGGTGGTTAAGTGATACTATGTGAATGGTTGGTTTAATATATGGACCATTAGGGTGGATTATGACTCATTGACCTAAGTTGTGTGGTATAAGTTATAGTCTTCATTAATACTATTTGTCATGATAAGTGATGTGGATCACTTATATGTTGTAGAAAATTGTTGGTGGAACTTATTGAGAAGTAAGGAACAAGCCGAGCCCTATTTTGTACAAGGGGAACTCTTTTAGTACCAAAGGGTTGAGGTAACAGGGGAATTTATATTTCTTATTACTTTGTTTTAGCTATTTTTGAATAAATATTACTAGTTATCATGCATTACATGTTTTAAAAGATTAAATGTGCTTTATAAGGGGTTATGGGGTACTACTTTGATTATAGTGCAAATATGTTTTCTAATTGTTTAATAACAATGTTTTTATGGAAATGAGATTTATAAATATTATACTATTTTAGAGTGTTGAATGGTCAATACTCAGGAAAGGTAGACAAGAGTAAAAGGCATGATCTCGGTGGGAGTTCACCAATGAGAAGGTGTGGATTTTTGATATTCTATGGCACACTGTCAGTACTCAGTGTTGTCTTACGTATTGTGGGCTCAGTGCACTAAAGTGGTTAGTGTATTGAGTGTTTGACACCTCTCAGTGGGGGAGGGAATCCGACATATGAAGTGTGAGGTTGAGTGCCTAGGCCAAGGTAGCCCTCACATGGAGAGTAAGTCGGGCTGGCTCTGGGAGGGAGTTAGCTTTGACTGCTCAGGATTCACGTCGAAGGGGCATAGGCGGTTCGGTGGATTAGATCATGCCTTAGATTATGTTTTGTGCCTGTGGAGGTACAAGTAGGTATAAGGTTTACCTGCGAGTTAAAGAGTGCCAGGGGGCATTCTGTTGGTCATGAAAGGCCATACCGGCCTAGGTCATGCATTCATGCATTTTAAATGGCTAAATTATATACTATGTTGAATTTATTATTCATTTATTTAATTATGGCTTACTTTGTAATAATCAATATAGATTTCACTGTTACTGAGACTGTGGTTGTCTCACCCCTTTCTTTTCAATATTCTAGGTCCAGGCGAAGGATCCAGTGGTGGACGGGGAAAAGAGCAAAGCTAGGGGTTTGCTTGTGATTTGTAAAGAACTGCAACCCCTTTCTTTTGAGCAAATATATTGTAATGTATTTAAGATTAGGGTGCCAGTAGGATATGATTATGTGTGTGTGTGTGAATATGTGTGGATTGTGTGCTTGTGTATGAATTTTTGTCTGTTTGCAGACTTGTGGCTAGGAAACTTGGTTATGGTGTGTGGTTTTGATGGATTTACTTAGTAGACCAAGTTTCTATTACAAGCAGATCTTTATTTTGATATATATGTGATTTTATAAGTAAATACAAAGTGGTTGCATTGCAAATGGTGTGCTATGGGAAAACATACAGCTTGGATAGAGAGAGTGGGTGCGTGGGCCCCACAAGGAGCTCTGAGCCAAGTGAAAATGTTTAGCATATGTATTTATATAAATACATGGTATTTGGATTGATTTGTGACCACTCTTGTATGATTTGTGCATTTTGGGGGTTTAGGGTCCATTTTAGGAAATGGCACCCGGGTGGTCAAATTTTGATGTATGGGGGTTTTCCATCATTTGAATGTTCTATCAAGTGTTTTTAATCTTATTTAACGTGTCCAAAGTGTTTCCACAGGTTTGTGACCATTAGGATGGGATTTGGATAATTTTGAAAATGGTTTTTACCAAAAAGCTGCACTTTTGCATCCGGGTGTCCAAATCTTAATCCGACCGTTGGATTTCTCTAAAATTTGGGTCACAAGTAAAACCTTTTATAAGCTTCGTGTGGGATTTGGAATCACGTCGATCGGATATCGGACGGAGAAACGACGCACTCCGGAATTTGGTCTGGAGGTGCTGTCATGACAGCATTAAATTGCTGTCATGACAGCTACAGTGTTAATTTTGTAACCTGCACAAAATTCAATCCGTCCGTTGGATCTTTTCAAAATTTAGTATGCTAATAGTAGTCTTTAAAAGTGACATGTGGGCTTTGGAATCACTCCGATCGGAGGTCAGATGATGAAATGGTGCACTCCGGAAGTTGGTCCGGAAGTGCTGTCATGACAGCTTTTTAGCTGTCATGACAGCAAAAATAGTCAATCTTTTAACATGTCTAATTTTTAATCCGACCGTTGGATCTTTTTGAAATTTGGTACACTTATAGTACCCTTTGAATGTGACGTGTGAGCTTTAAAATCACTTCAATCGGAGGTCGAATGACGGAACACCACCTCCTGGAAGTTGGCCCAGGAGGGCTGTCATGACAGCAATAAATTACTGTCATGACAGCATCTTTTTATTCCATTTTCGTCTAACTTGCTTCCGTGCGCTATAGGTAGAACCTATAATTATTTTTAAGGTTTTAAATGATTTATTTCTTAAGTTGGTTAGAGGATCAACTCCTTAACCACAGTTAGTTTGTTTGAATTATGTGATTTTTGGATAACACTCAAGGCAAGTGTTACAAAGCTGCTGTGAAGTAGTAGGTAAAAGCTTAGGCAAAGTTAATTGACATGCTACTAAAGGGGCAAATCCTTGGGAAGCTTGGCTGATGTTAGCTCCAGAGGGAAAGATGGCTGTATAGTCCCTTCAGACAAAATATTCGAGGTAATACATTTTATCTTCTAAATTTATTTAACTAATTTTTTATCTTAAAAACTAACATTGTTTGTTTATTTAGGGCGAGAATGACTGTAATTGTTTAGCAAACGATCCTTCATGCAAAGTAGTTGTAATGGGACACGTGTACAACATTGTCGGGGACACAATCCATAACCTTCCCTTCCCGCTCAATTGCGTTAGGGTTTCCTTGCTTGTTGTAATGGACCTAAGTATCCATTACCTTATCCTACTGATGAGATATAGACAGTAGGAGATGTGTTGGGGTGCTTCATTGCATGGCCCAACCACCTTGTTATGGTGGGTACACCAAAGTCGATAAAGAACCCATTGTTAGTAAAGAAAAAGTACATATGATTTAAATAATTGTTTAGAATCTTTTAATATATGCATCTAACTTTTTCGTTGTATAGTCGAGGCAAAAATGCAAATTGAAGGGCAAGGTATCGGGCTATACTAAAGAGTTAACCACAGTTTTGCAGTATCCAATACCTATAGCTGTTGTAGAAAACAAATTTTGTGACTCTCTTGAGATTTATGCTTCAGCTATGAGGATGATTCGTCAAGTGCTGATTAGGATATCATTAATTTTGATAATAGGCTATTTGGTATAGTATCATTTGAAGTCGTTTAGGATAAAATTTTAAATGATATCCTCAAGCACGATATGGCGACCACTAGTTTGATGACCTTCTACCTGAGGTAATTCTTCAATATTTGTCAGTTAATTACTTGAATTATATATATGTGTGTGTATACAAGCGTATTAACTTGTATATTTTTTACCTAAGTCACATTTATACCTCATTCATGATTTCTAGTGGCCTCGAGTTGAGGATCAAGCTAGTTAATCCTCATGATGTCTCTACCCACAATAATATTATAAAGGAAGCTCTTGAAAATCAAGCAAGAATACTTTCAGATCAATTCTGGGAAAGGGGAGTAGACAAGGATATTTTATTTCTTACTCCTTACTGCTAAGGATGAGCTGCTAATATTTTTTACAAGTAAATATTTTTTTTATATTTACTTGTTTGGTAACACGTACTATTTCTTGTTAGGGGATACTAGATGCTTATTGTGGTTAATCCCATTACTCCAAAAATATGATATCTCGATCCCCTTAATGGAGAACTAAGCAACAGGGAAGAAATGGTGGTACCTTTTTAATGAGTAAATTGGATTTTTTTCACTTGTTGTTTCTTGTCATTTTTAGTTTCCAGACATATATTTCTCACATTCATTCCATATTTCCTTCTTAGAGTTGTGGTGTTGGATTACACTATGACCAATAAGATTGTGTCCCCTAAGATTAGGGCATTTGAATCTTCAAAGAAATAGGTCACTGTTAATGTATTCATTTAATTGGTCAAGTTTTTAATCAAGAAATTGTGTCATGTTTTATAATTTCATTGATATGTATTTTTTTATAGTGTCCATTCCAGCTAGATCAGAGCAATGACTGTGGTTATTGCTTGATGAAATTCATGAAGGACATCATCACCCATGCCCCTACCACATTATTTGACAAGGTATATATATTAAATTTAATTACACTTTAATTATAAATTTTAACTAATTTTAATTAGCTACCTATTAACTTGAAATTGTTGTAACTATTTGCTTACAGTACTTCAAGGACGTCTACTATGTTCATTATATAGCTTCACATGTAGAAGAAGTCCTTGAAGAAGTGGCTGAATGTGTTTTCAATATGTGGGTAGCAATAGTGGTTAGGCCAGTACAACAATTAGTTACGTATGAATATATACACATTTTTTAGCCAATTTTTATGGGATAGGCCACTTAGTTTTGGAACTTTAGTTTACAAATAAGCTAGGTATAGATTTTTTAGGTTTTAAGGCTAAATGTATATGAATTTTAATGTTACCTAGATAGTAAATATTATTAGAAACATTCATTGTATTATTTCTAGTTACTGGCTGTAACACACCAAAATTTTTTTTTTAAATAATTTAACTCAACCGTAGTTGGGTTACAGCCACCCAACATATTTTTATATCAATAATTTCAATATAAAATATTTTATAATTGGCTTCAACTCACACACTATAACATTTCAGATAAATTTTTACCTCCCACATGCCATTAGGCTAAATCACATTTGTCCATCCTTATACTCCCAACAAGTAAACTAAATCACATTTGTCCATCCTTATACTCCCAACAAGTAAAATAAGCAATTTAATAAATTTTCAACACAAGCCAGTTATTTGGCCTTATAATCATGCCATTTTAACCAATCCAAAGTAAACCAAATATTAAAATTACAGTCATCCAAATTGTACTAAAAATAGAAATAGTTTGAAAGGCATGATTACATTTATATATTCATATAATTGACAATAAACAAAAAGCCCTAATATTGGCAATATAACACATTATAAATCATAAATTAAATACCCAAAAGAGACAGTGGATCTATACCACTAAGCCTCTGGGACTCCTCCACGTGTCATTCGTGGCTCTTCTCCTGAAAATTGTTAACCACATAATGAGACTCAAAAGTCCCAGTAACCAAAGCCAATTTATGATAGTGTATACAAACAGTTAATTGTGTGCTTACTAAGTGAGAATTAAAAATAATATAATTCCAACAAATATATGAAATATTACAATACACACAAACAACCATCCTTATATCCCTCCATTAACCTCGAGCCGTAGCCCTCACTCGGTGCTAAATTACCCGGCCAAAAGTAGATTAGCCCGAGCCCTTACAAACCACCTATTGAGCTCCAATAGGGGCATACCACGTGGCACATAAATACAACAACAATAGCAAGTCTCCCAACACCTCCCACAATAGTCAAACAAATTCATAATAATAATATTGCACAATATACAATAAAAAAAAATTCATAATTTTCTCAATAATCACCCAATTAACATGAAGTAACACTAATCATAAATTAAAAGCATGGTTACCTTGTGGCTTTTTCAATAAATTATTCCTTAAAATTTCTCTCTCACCACAATCTTCACCAGTAATACAATCTACAAATAACATATTATTTATAAATATTAGTTTCAATTTTTGAAACTAATAAAATAATTCTAATAATAGAATTAAAAATATAACATAATTCTTAATCTCAATCTTAATACAAATCTATAGTTAATACTATTAAGTAAAATTTTTAACTCCTCTTTTAATTATCAATAAACATTAATAATCTAAAAATCAACTTCTAAACTAATTTTTATTATCAAAATTTTCTTTTTATTTCATAAATTCGTACCTAAAATATCCAAAAATTAAAAATTAAGTCTCTAGCTTAGAATCATAATCCTATAACCATAATAATTCATTTCTCATCCCAAATAATCATCTAAACCTCAATAAATTAACATATATTTTTAGATCTAGTTTAAAATTTGATCCATAAGCCACAGATTCAAAGATCATCAATAAATTTATACTCTAGAACATTTATTATACTACTGACAACCTCAAAAATCATATTTATTCAACATAAATTCATCCCTCTTCCAGATCTTAAATTTTCTACCACTACAAACTCAAAAACTAAATAAGAAGGATGACTAAGAAAAATTTTTAGAACACTTACTTAGTCTTGAAAAGCTTAAAATCACAC